GATGGATGGATGGATGGATGGATGGATGGATGGATGGATGGATGGATGGATGGTCGGTCGGTCGGTCTTCTGTGGGAACCTCTCAGGACTGTATGGCTCCAGCCCTCTGCAGTGCCAAGGGGAAGGGTGGACATCTCTGCAGTTTGACTCCATGAGCAGAGACATTTAAAAGCCACTTTTCAACTGTGAATTTTGTGCTGTCTGTGTTGTGACAGTAATGAAAGAGGACTTCAGTGTGCTGACAAAGAAACTCTGATAGGAGATGTCCTAACTTGCTTAATGAGTCATTCTAGAAAGTTGACAAGTTGGTCTTTATGTGCCTGTCAGACAGGTACAGCCAGCATTATTAGCTGAGGTGGAGCTGTGTGGAACAGCACTGTGGTGACAGAGAGCGGCTGAGCAGGAGAGACAGAGTTGGTCTCTGTCAGAGAACCTGATTCTGACACAGAAACAAGCTACACACACCGAACCAGTTTCCACACAGATCAAGAAAACAGCAAAGATGGAATTTTACCCCTCAAAATGGAATATTAGCTCTTAGAACCAACACCCCATGCTGCTGTTCTCCTTCCCAGCAGGTAAGTACCTTAGCAGAGTAAATGAGAATGTAATGTCCGTCTTTTATTGTCATCTAAAATCTAAAAAGTAGCAACTGCAGACAGCAGCTTTTGAATGCAAAGCATTAGAAAAGGTGTGCTCTCTCTCTGTGTGTGCATGTGCGCATGTGTGCGCTTGCGTGTGTGTACAAAGGACGTACAGGATTTCCTTCTATGCAGACCATCGCTGTGTTTACCTGCGTGACAACAGACTGTTATGCTTAGGCAAGCGTCATGCTGTCATTTGAGATTTTTTTTAACTGAAGTCACTTTGCACTTCATTCCTCAATACTGGTGTTAAGTTCTACAGTAAACCACCATCCATCCATTTTCTGTACACCCTTGTCCCTAGTGGGGTCGGGAGGGTTGCTGGTGCCTATCTCCAGCTAACAGTAAACCTCATTTAGAATATTTATTTTGAAAACCCAGCCTCGTATGCTTCACTGGTGTGCTCAGAAAGTCTTCCATACGAACACAGCAACCAATGGTTACATGAGACATATGTTAATAGACTGAGATGATTCAGAATGACCTGGCTAACCAGTTGTAATCTGCTGTAGTAAGATGACTGCAGGAGAACACGACAAGACAACAGATCACCTGATCAACCTGCTCATTTCCTCCAGGGCAGTTTATATGAATTATTCTAATCCAAACAGAGCATTGCTCACATTGCATACAACACATGAAGTCACATGAGAAACAATGATACACAATTGTTTTTCCTAAAAAGCCATTTTGCACAACATGATGGTGCATTGACTCAGGTATGCTTTGATGAGGAAACAACATTATAACATGATATGAAACAACAAAAAAGTAGCTTTTACATAATACTACCTCTTTAACATTCAGAAGAAACTTAACATTATGTCTATGTACACCCAATATATCTTCAGATGAGACAGAATCATCTAAATATGTTTAACTTGTTTCATAATTGAACTGAATACTCGGGTGGTGAGGTGTGTGGTGATAGTACCTTAGAGGGACAGCCTAGAGCAGGAGTGGGCAATCCTGGTCCTGGAGGGTCAGTGTCCTGCAACTCTTAGATGTCTCCCTGGTCCAACACACCTGGATCCAACAGCTGAATCACCTCCTCAGTGCAGTCAGGTTCTCCAGAGTCCTGCTAACGACCTCATTATTTGACTCNGGTGNGTTGAAGTAGAGACACATCTAAAAGTTGCAGGAGACCGGTCATACCAGTAAGACCCCAAAGTTCTTACAGGTATGAAAAACTTGCAAGCTATGTTTTGTGTTTCCCTTTCATTTCCAGACTGTGGAAACATAACATATCTCTGTGCTTATGTGGTGAGGGAAAATGCCTTTAGAGAAAATGCAAATATATACAAATTAAGGACCTTGCACAAAACATCTGATTCTCAAAGATCAGCACTGTCAGTGACACACAGTTATAGGGAAATATTTATAGGCTCTCAAAAGCAGGTGATGTTTTCACTCCAGGACATGAAACAGGAAATGAACAAGCAGTTTCACCAAAAGAAGGCTGGAATGTCACAGAGCATAAAATTCCTTTTTTCTTTTAAGGAACAGTGCCGAGTATTGTTGCTGATTATGCATGTAGTTAAATAAGAAATCCTCAAGCAATGTTTGAACTTCTGTTGTTGCTGATTTATATTTAAAAGACAAACTTTATGATTAGGAACCTAAAATCTTTAAATACGTCATAGAATGTTCAACCCCTAATATAACTATGATGGGCTGTTTAGGACAAAAACTGTTTTGTCTCTCACACACTACTAAAGACTCATATACACACACACACAAAATACTAAAA